AGATGAGCTTTTAACAAAAGGCTTTTGACAGCTGCAGGCTATTTCATTTTTTTAATGCCGAATGAAAAATCAATACATTTTTCTGGGTTATACATATTCAGAGCAGGCCTGGTATTTCCATTATAATGGAAAGTGGGTGTCTGTGCAGCTTGCCTGTCAGAGCTGCACCACCGCATTTTCCAAGCCACTGCTAAATATTTCAAACCTGATTTGATTGTGGTTCATGACAGCTAATGTTTCTCAGCTCTTGAGCCTGCCGACAGGCAAACGCACTTTATTTCACCCCCACCCTCAAACATTACTCCCCCCAAAGAAAAAGGAAAGAACAGTTTCATTCTTCAGGGATCCCGATTGGTGTATTATTTAAGTAACAATCGCCTGAGATCCTTGAGTACAGACACCCTGCTTCTTAGGAGAATTTCCAAATTTCTATCACATCTAGCACTGTGGGGGCTTTGTCAGGTTTGGGGGAAGGTTTGAATTAATCTACATTATCCTCTTAAGAGTTAGGAACAGAGGGACTAGTCTTAATTATTGATTGACTCCCCTTCCTTCACGACACTCTGCTCCAGTTACTGGGTGAACAGCATCCTCTTTTAGCAACTGGTAGGTTTCTCGGGGAACAAGCTGGGGGAGTGTACGTGGCCACGCTGAGTGCTGACTTCATGAAGCTGCCGCCCCTGTTTTTGCTGCCGCCTGGTGCTCTTTGCACAAACCAATTTCCAAGTTGTTCATACAAGTGTTGCAAATCCCCAGGAGTGTGTCAGTTGGCACATGCACCTCCTCTGGGAGCAGACTCCACCACAGATTGGGAAATCTTGCTGCCACCTTCGCCAACATGGTGCATATATGGTGTTAAGAGAACAATTGCATTTGTGGTAAACAAAATCACCTTGGTTGAAGGGAAATTTTCTGGATCTGTGGTATGGTCACCCCGCAACCCTAAGCCACCCTATGGACCCCTCCCTTTCAGAATATATTTACCTGCTGAGGTTCTTACACCTGAGGGCCCTGCCCTTAACCTGGCACAATGAGTGATGTAAGCAGGTTGGCTTTGGCCCGAGTGCCAGTAGGTGCTGCCTGAAGGAGGCATTTTGCACAAAGGAGGTGGTGATGGAAATAGATGTTCAAAGGCCCTCAGCCGCTTTACATGGAAGATGAAGGCAGAGGAGACACCAGGAAGATCTCACAGTTATTCAGCGTTGGCTTCCACTTACCTCACCTTTTGACGTGAAAATACATCCTAACAGGGCAGGGGGGTGCCCTCGTTTGAGGGCTACTGTGGAACATATTCTGGAAGTGGGCTTCTGTGGGGGGTGTTAGAGCCCCTTTATCTGTGGTCTTCTAAACAGCAGGCCTGCTGTCTGGGATGCAGCGAACCTGCAGCCTCCTGCCCAGAACTGGCAACCCAGGGGACTCTGCCAGATCCTGGCTGTGCCCTGCAAAGGTGTTTCTGAGTATTCTGGTTGGGTTCTGAAATAGAACTAGACTTCTTTGGGGAGAAGATGGTGGTGATTTGTCTGTTTGAGCCTTCAGAATGGTGTCGTGTGTCTTGATGAAAGAAAGCTACCTCATCATCTGAGGGACTGACAGGATTTTCCAGGTAAACCCAGATTTTCAGTCCATCACATTCTCTTGTTCCCACCATCTGTCAGCAGTTGATACTATATGAGGGGAACTGGCTTCTGTGATGACCCCAGCCAGTTGCCATTGACTTCATGGAGGGAAATGCAATCTGTGATCTACAGGGAAAACACCTCCCCTCCGCTGTGTGTTCCATCAGCACGTGGATATCAGATCTGCATTGCTAAAAGGAGCTAGGGCTAGATCAGCAGCCCAGGCACTCAGAGTGCGGAAGCAGCTCTCCGATCCAGAGCTGGGTGCCGTCGTACCCCTGGTCCCCGCACGTCTGCAGTGCGGGGAGACCAGGCCCTGGTCTTAGTAAAGGGTGTTGCTCTATAGATTTCTAGGACCAGTGACACATAACCCACCTGCAAAGCATTGTGGGCTGAGCTGTCCAGGCAAATTCATAGTTGGTATGTCTGTTTTTTAATCATTTCTCTACCTTTATTGGTATTCAGAGCTCAGTTTTCTGGTTACTGTCAGCCTGAGCCTTCATCCATTTTAAAGAGCTGTTTTTCCTCTTGCTGTTGATGATGATGCTATAAAGACAGATGGTGTAACTGCTTATGAATGTCCTATTTTATTTCCCGAGGACCAGACAGTTCACTTGAAGACGTATGTTATTTCCACATGCTCAGTTTAGGCAGCCCAGACAGTGTCTGCCTCCAGCGGCTAGCTGCCCTTCCAGGCCTCGCCATGCAGAGGGCGACACCTGTAGGTCACAGGTGGAACTGCAGGGAAGTGCCTGCTGGGGCTGACCCGGGACCTACTTTTTAGCCAGGGGTGAACGACCCTGATCTGCTTGTGAAGGAAGCTGGCTTGTCCAGGAGTTTCTTAATAATTCCATCTTCCGCCAAGCACATGGCAGCTTTTTAGTGAATGAGTGACAAATGACAATATTAAGCCTACCGAACTCAAAAAGGACTCAATTTTTAAATCTTAAAAATAAGAGCGAAGCAAAATGAGTTCCTGAATTAACCTTTATTGCCTAGCCTCTTGTTGGCACTCAGTTGACTTCATTTTTCTGCTTGTAGTCGGCAGGAAGGGAGGAAACACAGTACCAAGTAGGCTCATAGAATGCAGTTTCCAGGAATACTCACAAAGCATGTAGAGTTCCGTTGCTCCCGGCACCAGTGATGCGCTTAGTCCTCGGTTCCGCACAGTCTCTACCTTCTGTTTGGACAGAAGCTCAAAGAATCGAGTCAGTGACAGAGTGACTGAGTTCTTAACTGCTGGGTGGATAGCTGTGGCCCACATCATGCACAGAAGAGAGGGGCTGGTCTTGGAGATGCCTCCCAGTGAGTAAATCCCTTCCCTCCTCCGCAGAGAAGCACCTTCAGACACTGTTCCTTACCACATCAGGGTGCCCTCTTTGGTGGGTGTCAGACTGTCCCCATCTAAGGTGATAATGTATGTGTGTGCCGGAGAGGAGGGGCGTGGGGCTGTTGCCCATCTTTTTGCATGATCAAATTTGATTAATTTAATAGTACTGCAGATATTTTGTATCACCGCATGTACTGGAGCAAATGAGTGTATTTTAAGAGACCTAGCTGCTTTGGGTAGACCCAATTTAATAATATTGACTGAATGCTGGTATCACCATTCAGAGATGGATTTTATAATTACAGTGTTGAACAATTTTATCAAAAGCCTAAAAATGTGCATTGAAATCCTGCCTGGACTTAATTAAGATGGGACATATATCATACTGTGTAACTTGCTTGTTATTGCTCCACTAACACTTGTATATAAATTTTTTCTTTCTCTTCTGAATGATGTATAGTATTAATATGGCGCTGTTTATCTGATTGCCTTCAGACCATGGTCGCCTGATTTTTCTCTGTTTGAACTACAGTGGGTGTGGGGAGACATGACGTTAACTTTGCCACACAATGAGGCGAAAAGGAGACATAGAAATTCTATGTGGAAGCCTCTTAGTTGAAGATGAAAATAAGCACTCTCTTATTTCATCCATGTGCCCCGCGACTGCCTCATAAATTCCCTCTTGGTGATTAATGAAGAATGTTCCCTGACCCCTAGTTCAGTTTTCCAGTCCTTGGACTTCCATTGTCTTTGCGGAAAGGATTGGGAAAATCTGACTCTAAATAGATGCTTTCTTGCTCAAGTGTTTTATAAATGCTCTGAGGTCAACTTACTTTGAGCTCCTTTTACATCCTTTGTAAGATGAAATTCAGAAGCGATTTTTCTGGCAACTTGGAGGATATTACACCTTGAAATATACAAACATGGAGCTGCAGTTGGAGGGACAGAGGGTGACCCTGGACACACACAGAGCTCACATCCGTGGTCGCAGACTGGACCCTGATACCTGGTCCCTGGGGATGTGGTCTGGTGCTGGCCTCTGGTGATAAATGTGGGCGGCTGGGCTCTCATGTTCCCACACCCAGGAAGGTGTGCTCTTCACGGTCTAATGATTTCCTCATTAACCCACCTTGGGTTGCCTGTCTTATTTATTCATTTCACCCATTCTTAATGAATCTTTGGGTAATGGTCCAAAGGACCAGAAAAACAAGAGAGCAGTTTCTCTTGCATTCAGAGTGTCTTGCCCTCTCCTTCCCCACTTAGACAGGTAGCTTTTCACCTCATGGTAAACCTACTGTTGGAAATGACCATTCCTCTACTTTGACCAGAGAGTTGTATGTTGAGCTGGAGAGGATTTCCATGGTTAGTTTTAAACCAGTGGTGGCTAAAGAATGGAATGACTTCATAATAAAAGTATATGATTCTGTACCATTCTTTCCCCCTTCTCTACAGTTGTTCTAGCTTCTAGCCACTGACTGGGCAGGTCCACACCTGTCATTTGTTTTCTAGAACTTTCACATTGATGAAATCATGTCACTGATATTCTGGGACTCCTGAGACTGTGAATGACTGTAAAAATTCCCGCTGCAGGCTGGCATGTATGCAGGGCATTCATTGTAAGGCCTCTGAGGGGTCAGCAACTGCGTCTAGTCTAGGTCAGTGCCAGGAGGCACTGGGGTTGAAACTGGGCAAGAAGCAAACATGTGGATCCTCTTGTGCATTTTCAAGTGTAAAAGACTTGCATGTAACTTCAGGAAGTCAGAGGAAGTTATTTCTTCAATACAATTGGCTTTTCAATAAGACAAGTTCAAATGAGGCATTCAGAACCCATCTGGAAACGTGCACATGTCTCATAGCAATGAGTAGGGAAGGAAAGTCCATGCTTCCCCAGACCCCGGCGTATGCATGGTGTAGTCAGCCTCTCGGGGGCCACTGGGAAGAGGAGAGCCCGGCATCCATTTTGTGTGGCTGGTCATTGTCTAGAGTAGGAGCCAAGAGCCCCTCATCGTCTCTCTACTTGGAATCCTTGACGTTTTATTTCTTTTCTGTTTCAGAAGAAGCCATTGAAGATGTTGAAGGGCCCAGTGAAGCAGCTGCTGACCCGGAGGAGCTTGCTAAAGACCAAGAGAGTGGAGGCGAGAAGGACCAGGGCAAGTGGACAGGTAATGTGTGCAGCCGCCCCAGGCTCCTAATGCTCCTCCCCTGGAGCGAGGTCACCGCGAGGTCACAGCGAGCAGATGCATCCTCAGCCTACTCCGAGAAACTACACACTGGCTCTGTCCCTGGGGGAGAGGGATTTTGCTTTTGCTTTTTAGAGTGGTCACCTTCATTCTTCTCTTACTATATTCAATTGTTTTTAAAGTTTTTTTCCTCAAATGGCCCAAAAGCTATGTTGCTTATCGAGCATCCAGGCATTTGGCCGTGTGCTTCCGGGTCTCTGCGGTCACATTGCTTCAGCAGCCCTTCCCTGCTTTCTTCTTGATGTGACGCTTCCTCTTTTGAAGGTCCAAGTCCCCGTCCCACCTGCTTCCAAGCCCTAGGGAGGGATTCGCCATGTGGAACTTGACCAGGGTCCCCCTGGCCTAAGGAGTCAGCAGTGAAGGGGGGGCTTCACCCTGTGTTTGGGGGCCTGGGTGGGCTCTGCAGGTTCCTGTGCCCTCCTCCGCCACCCAGGTGAGTGCCCACACCCGGACACGCACTCAGAGGTGGGCAGCAGTTCAGCCAGGCAGGGGGACATCTTACCAAAAGCAGAAGAAAGTGAGAAAGTCCGGAAGGGAAGCGATATTTCTGGAAAGGCTGGTGTTGAGAGGAAGAGAATGGCTGTTTCTCGTGATGATAGGATTCTATAAGGGGACTAGGAAGAAAAGCAGAGGCTGTTTTGAAGAGGAGCAAAGTCATTTCTAAGAGGACCTATTGGGACAGATGAGTCTCCCAGAAACAACCCTAACAATTAGAGGGGGTTTTATGACAAGCAACAAATAATTTTTTGGTCAACCTAATTCTCACTCCCTTCCATGATGGATATTATAATACTTTGATTTTTTTTTTTTTGAGAAAATATTTACCTTCTGGAGTCTGTATTGGTGGGACCTTTGTTACTTTTCCAGGCACAACTGTTCCTAAATTATGTTCAGCATTGGCTTCATTATTTAAACAAGATACAGAATCTTGGAGTAAGGCCAGAGGAGAGCAGTGAAAATGACTGAAGGCTGAGAAATATTGCCTCTGAGAAGAGGCTGAAGAAATTGGGGCAGTTCGGCCTGGAAAAGAGAAATTGGAGAGGCAGCATTAACAGTTCCCAAATACCGGGCGAGATATGGCAGAGTAGGTTATGTGCCCCTGTTCAGTGTGTCCTAGGAGACGGACAGAGCATCAGTGCAGCTGAATGGACGGACAGGCACACTGGCGGCTTTTCCTGTCCGTGCCTCTTATCGTCGTCCCCTTTCGACCTGGGCTTTATGGTATCAGAGGTGTGTGCTTGAGATAATGCTGTGGGGATGGGGCCGAGCACCCTAGGAAGAAGGTAGGGCCAGAGAATAGGGAATAGATACCCGGACCCAAAGGCCTTGAGTGTCGGGGGAGGATCATCCTGTGTTGCTTTGCATGGACCAAGATCCCAGTGTTTGCTGTACGTAGGTAGGGGCTACACAAACTTAGAACAGTACCTGGCATATGGTCAAGTTCTGTGTTAGGAAGGTTTTGCTGTTGTTACTTTTAGTAGGTTAATTAAGGAAGATGAGGACAGCTAGTTGCATTTCCTCTTGGGGTCCTCATGTATGAATGCAGAACTGTTGCCGGGCAGCATGTAGTGGCTTCTGGGAATTTTGCGAGGCTGAGAGGGAACAACATAAAGGATTTATTGGGATCATGCAAATATTTGGCACGTATGTTCCCTGCATTCTATGTGCTAGAACACTAAGAAAATAACAAAGTAACTGCCATTCACGGAGCTCCTACTGGGTGCCAGGCACTTTATATGTTCTTCTCTAATACTTTCGGTGGTTTCAGGAAGCTTTGTTGAGGGCGGTTCAACCGAGTCACACTGGAAGTGTTCGCCACTCAGTGGGGCGTGTCTGTGGCATGCTCGGCGGCCTGCCAGACCATCAGGAGCCCACTGAAAGACTTAAAATGAGCGCCATAAAAACGAATGTCTTTGATAAGACTCTACTTTCTCTTTTTCATTCATTTAAGCAACAGGCCATACTTAATCTTTATCTCCAAAAGGCAGAGACAAGACGGACACAGAGAGAATAAATGAATAAGTCAAGAGGTGCACCTTGCCATTTGCACAGTAGTAAAGACAGAAGCAAAAATTCTTTCCTAATGCCTGCAAGTGATCCTCTTTAGACCCAAAGCATAATTTTGTCTATATTGTCTGAGTGTGTAATGACAGGTTTTATCAAGGTACTTGGGCCAATTTGATCTTGGAATCGATACAGGTGTCGGCAGCCTCTTCTGAACCAGCTTTAGGATCCTTAGTATTTCATTTAAGAATAAAAAAAAGTTCATTTGTTCCGTTTACTCCCTAAATTGAGCTGTTCCTGTCTGATTAAATGTGATGGGGAGTGCTTCCTCCCAGCAAATAAATAAATAGTGATTTCACAATGTGTACTGTTGATTAGTGGCTGCTCAGGATGCAGATTAATAATATTTCAAATGGGCCTGAATAATTGGCATTTTCTCAGCTATTGATTATGTAGTTTGGAGGTTTGTGCAGGAATGGATAATCTTTACTAAAACTTTTTAGTTATTTACTTTTATTAGAATGGGAACTCCAGATTTCCTTTTTGGTGTCCGTTGGTAACCCTCATTGAGCTTCTTTTATTTAGATGTCAGGTCTTTTACCTCGAGTGGCAGCAAGAAAGGAAAATAGTGATTTGAATCGTGGCAGCAGCAGTCCCACAGTCAGGGGCTGGGTCCCTGCCACATGCAGGGCACTAGGCCGTGTTCCTCTGCTCCCAAGTTCCATGAGATTCTAGGCCTCGCCTTCAGGGGAGGTAACAGTCCACGGGGATTTCAGCAACTCCCACAGCCATCAGAGCAGTATTACTGCGGATCAGTGCTGTCCCGTGGGAACTTCCTGTGCCGATAAAAGTGTTCGGTATCTACGCTGTTCAGTATAGTCGCCACCAGCCACATATGGCTGTTGAGCACTTGAAATGTGGCTGTACCACTGAGGAACTGAATAAAAGTTAAATTTAATTTTAATGAATTTTTAAAATAGCTACATGTGGCTATTTAAATACTAGACCGTGCAGCTATAGAAACTCAAAAGATGCAAAACTAACCCTGAAAGGATGCATCCTGGATGTAATAACTTGCCAGATAGTAAGGCTACATTAAGCTCTAACTCTGTGCTCGGCATTGTCCTAGCAGGTCGCACCTGTTCACAGGTGCACAGGTACTGAGCCCCAGCCACCGTGTTGGCCCAGTGGAGCTGGGGGCTGCTGAAGCCGGATCAGTTCCAACTTGCTGTGTTTTTATGAACTTGCCATCGTTTTCTGTGTCCATCAAGACATGGAAAGAGTTGGGTGGCGCTGCTTTATACATATTTCATTTGATCCTCATCCTCCCTGCTCCCACTATTTTGCAGATAAATAAACTGACCCCAGGAGAGCTGATACAAGTTGCCAGAAGACATACAGATGGACTTAGATTTGCATGCTGGCTGTACCACTAACTCTAACTGAGGGCAGAGCCCCAGCTCTTGCCAGTATGCTGTGCCATCTCTGCACAATGGGAGTTTCAGGGGAATCATCTGCTCTAGTTTCCATCTCTGTTCTAAGTATGGACTCTTGCACAGGGGTCACACTAATGTGACAGCCACCTCTGTGTTCAAGATGAGTGGGGTTGTCAGTCATGAATAGGCCTCACAGTGAGTCAGCATCATGCGCAGTCTCCGAAGGCAGGTTGGTGAAGTGGGAAGCACTCTCCTGATTTGGGGTTAGAAAGCCTACCAGTTAGCAGATGACCTTGGCCTCCTGGAGCCTTGGTGTCTCGTCCGTAAAACCGGGACCAGTGTCACACACCAGCCCCCAGCCTGGGTTCCGTGATGGCAGGTGCTGGCACATACACAAGCCTTTGGTAAACACTTTGGGGGCCCATTTACTCAAGGCACATGTAAAGTACTCTCGTGGGCCAACAGAGGATACACGGAAGGTTCTTTCAAGCCAAGCCTCTGCCCTAATGCACAGACGTTTCTACCATCCAACTCGGTGGTTTTCTCTTTTGAAATGTGAAAGTGATCTCTTGTTCTCTTGCAGCAGCGTGGATTTAAAAGTGTGTGTTCTAGATTGAAGAGCCCCCAGTGTCAGCAGCTGAACAATAATTAATGCAATGATTATCCAATCACCCATTAATTGCTATAAATTAAGCGATATACAATTAATATGATGCTTTATCACCAATAATTAGGGGGAAAAAATGGAACTCTTGGCAAAGAATCATAGCAAGATGGTTATTTAAATCCTGTAACCGCCATGGTTTCCAGCCACAGAGCACTAAGCTGGGTCTAGTTAAGCTAATTTGAGACAAGATGACTGGGTGGGGGTGGAGGGGTACTGGTGCTTTAAAAGACAAACAAAGAAAAAAAGATGGGGCAGTGGCCCAACTGAACATGACAGTGTGATCATGCTTCAGAAGTTGCTGATGGCCATGTTTATAGTATCATAAAATTTTGAGTTAGAATTGTAGTTTGAGTGTTGTTTTTCCAGGGGAATGGCCTGAAGGGATTTTATTTTATTAATTTTTTTAAATCCATGATGCTCACCTAACACAGAGCAATTAGTGCAGTGGAGCGTCCCTGATTTGAATCTGTGGAAGATTGCTATTAGAGGAGGTATTAATGGGCTGGCAAGGGCTGGGCAACTGTTAGGGAAAAAGTGTTTATGGAATACGGTGCTGGCAGGCATGATTTCAATCGGATTTGACATGTTTAACATAAATGTATAGTATATGGCTGTTGCATATGAATAATTCCTACAGACCCACAGCCTTTCTAATTACTGAGTCTGAATAAAAGCAGGTCAGGCACAGCCTGGTGGAGGTCCAGTGCCGGCCCTCCCCCTGTTCTCCCTGTTGTTCACAGCTTTGTATAAATAGGGATGCCATTGTATGGGGAACTTAGTGCCTGAAATCTAATCTGTGACATAGAATGGAAAGG